GGATTTTTAGAAGTTACCTCAGTCTCCAGGAGCACCTGACTCCCAACCCATCTGGCAGCAAGGATGCACCAATAATGGTGGTGTTTTCTTATTTATCAACCACAAATCCATTTCAGCATCAACAAGCAAGCTAAAGTCACTCAAAACAGCTGCCAGGAGGTCTCCATCTGAGTGGGCTTTCACAGCATCCAAGCCACAGAAAGACACATGGTCCAAAAAAGGGGCAATGCTGCCTATGTTGCTATCCTAGGGTGGGGGTTAAAGGCTATATAACTTATTCTAAATGCTGGAATATCTAGTCCTTTCCAGAAGACTAGCCTAAAATATTAATCTTTAAGAATTCTTTGCAAAATTGCTTATAATGAGTATTTTATTTACTAGTAAGCCATTTAGAAATAAATTTCTTCATTGGTTTTAATGCATCACTGAAGGGAAGCTTTAAGATGAGCAGACTTGAGCACTGTAATTATCATGTTTGCATTGTTAAAACTTCTGACAAGACCAACAAACCATGGGCCTGGACACTTCCAGGGATGAGGCACCCACAGTTTCTCTGGGCAACCTGCTCAAGTGCCCTGCCACTCTCAGAATGTAATGTTTTTTCCTAATACCTAAACATCCTCACTTTTGATTTGAAGCCATTCCCCTTTGTCCTGTCATTACAGGCTCTTATAAATAATCTTGTTCCATCTTTCCTCTAAGTTCATTTCAGGGACTGGAATTAGGGCACCCCAAAGTCTTTTCTCTCCAGGCTGAACAATCCCAGCTTTCTCAGCCTTTCCTTATGAGCAGAGCTGCTCCATCCCTCTGATCATCATCATATTAAAATTTTCTGTGAAGTTAACAGAAGAGACAACATCAGGAGGGACAAAGCTGTCCTATGTTAAGAATTATGTTCCAACAGGTAGATTTTTGAATAGGACCATACCAAACCTGTGTCTATTCCCAGCTATAGCCCTATGTTGATCACAAGTCTATCAAATGCTGATTTTTTGGCATTTAGAATGTGTTGGGCAGGCAAATTTCTTTGGTTTGACTTGGCCTTATAATTTTACAGAACAAATGTTACTTCCCACAGTAATTGCCATCTTCCCTGTGCAATGACCTAGAAATGCCAGAGAGTCCTGGCAGTCCACACCAGAACAATGAAAACTGAACAGAATTATTTTCATTTCCAAGAAGGGGGAGTTCAATTATTGGTGAAAGACAGGTGCTGTTGGGTGGGACAGCTTGTCAGGGGGGTGTAGGCAGATCTTGGATTCATGTTTTTCTAACCCCTTCTAATGTGCCTGAGCATTGAAAAGGGGGTGATGTAAAACAGGTCCTTTATATAAAAAACTGGATGGACACCTGGATAAAATCAACAACTTTTCCAGTATCTCCACATCTCTCAAGCTGCTCCTTCACGTGAGTGTTTGTAATGCTTAGAGCAAAGTTTCTTATGTGACTAACACACTATAGGATCAGGAATCCCCTGCTACCCAGGCTGTTATCTGCAGGATCCTAAAGGGTTTCACAGACAAACCCAGGGGGTGAAACACAACTTTAATGACAGCAGCTTGTAGCTCCCAGAGACTCCAGAGGATTGCATCTTCTTTCATCAGGATTGAATTTGATCCAAAGCGTACAAGAGTTGTGTTGTGCCTCAAAGCTAATTGAGGATTTGTGGCTCTCTATCTCTCAGTTGGGAAAGGTCAGCCTTGAAATTTCCAGGTCAGAACTACTTGACAAGGATTTAGTGTCATCCACAACTTGGGACATGCTAACAGGATTTCTTGTGTAAAGATAGTGCTCTAACTGTAAAAAAGAGGCTAAGAGGGCAAAACTGCGAGGAAAGAGATGATTCATTCCAGTGATTTATCCTTGCACTTCCAGGCTCTCAGACTAGAAGATGTTCCCTCTCATTGCACCAGGCATGACTGACCCATCTTTCCATTACTGCACTGCTGTGCTGAGTTATTGCAGTTTAGAGATGTAAACAGGACAGATTTCCTAATCTGTGGGGTTATTTGCACAAAATAATTTGTACCTTCCTGGAAAGCCTGAATCCTTGCTTGGTGTAACAGGGCAGCCCAGCCAACTCCTTTGGTCACTTGGGAAATCAAAGACAACTCCAGAGATGAGCAGTGGGACACACCATTTAATTATCACCAGCCTTTCTAAGCATTCCTGTTTTTCCACGGTTATATGGCCGGACAGTTGGAATTAGGCTGCAGCCTGGGAGAACATTACACTGGCCTCTTGTGCACCATATCCCTTTTCATTGATAAACTAACACTTCTTTAATGAGATGTGCTGAGTTTGTTATCCAAAATACATTCCTTATCCCAGATCTCATCTCTAGCACCTCTCCCAGGGGTATCTGGGAGTTTGGACCCAGATATATTTGCAAATCCAGGGCTTGATCAGGTCCCAGTGAAGTCAATAAAAATATTGTTGGTGCTGAGCAGACATGCATTAGGCTCAAAGGAAAAGTAAAACCCATCCAAGAAAATTTCAGGTTCTTTTTTCAATCAAAATATGTCTTCTCTCTCTTTAATTTTTTTCTGCTGTTTTAACTTTACAATGAGTTTAAGTAACTGAGAAAATGTTTAAATTTTAGTATGTTGAATAGTCCTGGCCCAGTGCCCAAAAAGTTAATGTGATCTTTCTAATACATACCTCTTATTAATTTTGAAACTTACTGACTCCAGTGAAGAATTTTTGGGGATGACAGAACACTGAAATGTAGAAAAAGAAATACCAGGAGGTTGAGAAGTGAACTGTAGTTCACAGGCATCACCATTTGCGGAAAAATGGAAAAAGAAGAATGAACACTTGCAAAACTTTGGTGAGTTAAACATTTCATAAGTACAATCTCAGGGTTATGTTAATGCAATCATTTACACGGGAATATTAATTCTTGAAGCTTTGTGCCTTCAGTTAAGCTGTTCCTTAGGGAAATGGTGGACTTGCAAAGCAGTCCCTGGAAGCTACAGGGGCAGGTCTGTGCATCCCACCACCCATCCTGACCCTGCCAAGCATTACAGGTGTGCACATCATTTTTTTCCAGAGCAGTCAGAGGTTTATTTGCTGCTTGCAGGTGAGCATGAGGCTGGAAACCTGCATCCCTGCAGAGTCCTGCAGGCAGAGAGCACCTGTTCCTGGCACTGTCCTGGGACGTGCAGAGGAAACATGGGATAAATAAGCACTTTGGTTTGTCGCTGTGGGGTCTGGACTTCAGCAGGGGGAAATCAGTCGGAATCCTCAGGGGACCCCTTGCTCTCACCTTCCCAGAGCCGTTCCAGCCGAGGGAACGGGGCATTTGCCATCTCCACCCATTCCATTGGCAGTGCTAAGGTGCAAAGGTGACTGCGGTCACCTGTCCCTGCTGGAGCCCCGAGCAGGGGGCGGCAGAGGAGGGGACGGGGCCAGCGGTCTGTGCGACAGCGGGGGGATGACCCAAGGGTCCGAAGCCATCCCGAAGGTCAGAGCCAGCATCACCTCCTCCCCGCCCACTCTGCCGCCGGGCTCGGTGAAGCACAGCCCGCCCCGGTGGGTGACAGCTTGCGGCACTAATGACAGCCTGGGCGCACACAAAGACGGGAAGTTCGGCGCTGCCCGGGGCCGAGCGGGGACACGGCGGGACCCGGGGGCTCCATCAGCCCGGCAGAGCCGCGGCCGCTCCCTCGCTGGTTCCGGAGCCAGGCACAGACCTCTCCTCCTCCTCCTCCTCCTCGTCCTCCCCGAGCTCTGCGAGCCGCAGCCCCGGCAGGACGCGAGGTAAGAGCGGCTCCGGCCGCGGGCACATCCCGAGCCCCTTGCTGCGGCTGCCGGCGGTGCGGGGCAACTTCGCGTTTTTCACACACACACTTACACACACAAAAACATCTCTCTCCTGCCGGTCTCTCTCCGTGCCGTGGCCCCGCTTCCTCCGGCTCTTCTCTCCCGCTTCCCTCTCTCCCGCTCACTCTCGCTGGTTTTCTCCTCCCCCCGAAGCCGCTCCCCCCCTCCCCCTTTCCGCCTCCCCTCAAGTTTCTCCTTCTGTCTGATTAAATGAGAAGGAAGTGTGGGAGTGGTGGTTTTGAAGCTCTCCCTTTAAGAGGCAGCCTGCAGTGACGAATTGTTGAAATTGCCATTGCAGGATGGCATTCCGCTATAAATTCATTGTTCCACCTCCTCTCATCTTCACATTTCTCTCCCTTCTCCTCTTGTTCACATCGACAGACTGGGGATAACAACAACAACAACAACAGGAAAGATACAGGGAGGGGGCTTTTACAGAAATCCAGGACGTTTTCCGCTTCTTGGGTTTTTTTTTCTCTTTTTTTCTCTTTTTTTTTTTTTTTTTTCTTTTTAACCATCTCACCGGAGACGATCGAGGCGGTTTTGGGTGCCTGAATTTCTTCTCTCCCCTTCTCCTCCTTCTCTTCAAAACAAAAGAGGGCAAAAGAAGGAAAGGAGCCCACCGGAGCCCGAGAAAGTGCCGAGTCGCAGCAGACCTGCCCGTGCTGCTGCTGCTGCTGGTGATGATTCGGTGACTACAGCAGAGAAGTGGAAGGGGAGTGGGAAGTGCTCAAACTTCTCTACTTGCCGGCTCCGAGCCGTCTCTCCTCCTTTTCCTCTCTCCTCACTTTGCCTCCCCGGCAGCAGCGATTTGGGATTTTTTTTTTTTTTTTTGCCTCTCTCTCTCTCTCTCTCTCTCTCTCCCTCTCTCCCTTTCCATGTGCTCCCGGCTCTTCCCTGCAGAGAAACACAAAGTTCACACGCGAGCGGCTTTTGTTGACATTTTTTTCTCTCCCACTCACACTTGACTTCGGGAGGGAGAACTTTTTTTTCTTATTGTTTTTTCTTGTCGCTCTTTTTTTTTTTTTTTTTTTAATCCCTTCCTCGCACCTCTCCTTTTCTCCCCATCCCTTAACCCCGCTGCCGCGCTCCGCCGGCCGGCTCCCATTATTCCCATCACTATCACCACCACAATTGCCATTCCCGCCGCCCCGCTGCCCCGCGCCGAGGCGAGGATGCTGCCGGCGCTGCTGTGGCTGCTGCTGGCCGCCCGTGCCGGCCGCGCCGCGCCGCCGCCGCCCGCACCTGCCGAGCCCGGCGCGCCGCCCGGCCGGCCCCCCGCCCCCGGGCCGCCCCGCGGGGCCGTGCGGCGCCTCGACCCGACCTACGCGGGGGGCGGCAGGGCGGGCTACGTGCTCTACGCCGGGGGACAGCGCTTCCTGCTCGACCTGGAGCGCGACGGGCCGCGCTGCCACTACCGCGGCACGGTGGACGGCAGCCCGCGCTCGCTCGCCGTCTTCAACCTCTGCGGCGGCCTCGACGGCTTCTTCGCCGTGGGCCGCTCCCGCTACACCGTGCGCCCGGCGCGCCGCGCTCCGCACGCAGAGGCCGCGGCGCGGATCTACGGCGAGGGCCCGGCCCGCGCTCCCCACGTCTTCCGCCGGGAGAGCTTCAGCTTCGAGACGGTGCCGGCCCGCACCAGCTGCGAGACCCGGGACCCCGCCAGGCCGGCGGGCGGGGACGGGCGGCGGCGGCGGCGGCGGCGCTCCGTGTCCCGGGCCCGGCAGGTGGAGCTGCTGCTGGTGGCCGACGCCTCCATGGTGCGCAAGTACGGGAAGGGGCTGCAGCACTACCTGCTCACGCTGGCCTCCATCGCCTCCCGGCTCTACGCGCACGCCAGCCTGGAGAACCACGTGCGGTTGGCCGTGGTGAAGGTGGTGGCGCTGGGCGACAAGGAGAAGGGGCTGGAGGTCAACAGGAACGCCGCCACCACGCTCAAGAACTTCTGCAAGTGGCAGCACCAGCACAACCGCCTCGACGATGACCACGAGGAGCACTACGACGCCGCCATCCTTTTCACCCGCGAGGTAGGCATGGTCCCGGCCATGGGCATGGCCATGACAGCGAGAGGTGTCCCTCGAGCCTGGCGTGGCCGGGCTGCCGCACCTCTGGCTACCCTGCTCGGCTTTGCCCTGTGGTTTCCTCCCCCTCATGAATCCGGCTCGTCCCTCGGTCAGTGCAGCATCTCAGGGACCGGCACCCACTGCCGGGCATGGCAGAGGGATTGAGATTTGTGTGTATCCCCTGCCCTGTGCTGTCACCCCGCCTTGGGTTCACCAGTGCAGTGCTGGGACCTCAGCCCGGTGGAGAGATCGGAGCTTTGATCGTGGGACTCAGCCTGATGTCCCTTTGCTTCAGACTTTGTCCTGTCTGTCCCTGTGAGATGTTTAACACCCTCTGCAGAGGTGGTCCAGTCGGGAAGGGCTGATAGCACTTCCTAGGCTAAATTAGTCCCCAAACAAACCTGCTAGGGAAGGTGGTGGAGAGCACCTTAAGAGCACAGACGTCTTGCTTGTGGAGCACATCGGGACGCTATTTCCAGCAGGGATAGCTCCACCGCGCTGGAAGCCAGCAGCGCTTGTGGTTCAGGTGTAGGACGTAAGTGCAGACCGCAGGTAAACAGGGCTGCACAAGCTGGGTGACTTGGGCTGGGTGGTGGTAAGGGGCTGCCGTCCCTGTCCTGTCCCCCAAGCGGGTGCTCTCATCAGCTGTGGGTTGGATCTGCTCGTGTTGCTCATGCAGAGCCGTGCCTTATTGCTCCACGCTGGGTTGTTGATTAATTGCATTGCCAGAGGTCGTTAAGGGACATTGCTCTGGTAGACATGTGGCCGAGTTTATGCAATGAAGTTCTGTAAGAATATCCCTTCAGCGGTTTGGGTTTGGTGTTTTCTTTTTTTCCCTTTCCCCAAGTACGAAAAAAATAACTGCATGACTTTCCGTTCATTTGAGTTCTCCGGCTTTGCTACATGGTAGGAGCCTGCCAAAAAGGATGCTTTGGATGGTTTGTGGAAGGAGTTGCTCCAGAAGGGGGGAAAAAAGCGCCTGGCTTGCTTTTATAGCTGTAAATAGTTGAAACATTAGGTTCTGTGTCAGGCATCACTTGTACAACAGGAGCCCTTTTTAGCAGTTTAAAGCCCATCAGTGCAATTTGCAAGCTTTCATTTTATTATCGCTATAACCTGAATGAAAGCAGGCTACCTAGACTGGGTCAGAGTGTCTTTGGGTTTGCTGTAAACATCTTTTCCAATGGCTTATTAAGCCTGGGCCAGAATCCATCACTTCGCTCTGAAGAGTGTTTCTCTCTCTGCCATTATTCCCACTTATTTCCCTGGGCTATATGACAATTCTGAAACGCTTAGGGTGGCGACTGTGAACCTTAACGTCAATTATTAAGTTAATTTGGACTGAGATAGGATGTGACTTTAAAGTGCAGTTGCTTTACAGCTGCTTAGCTGTAATTCTTTGCATGGACACCCTCCTGCCAGAATAAGAGGGTGCTGCTAATCAGTAATCCGCTTTCAAAGACTCATGAGCAATGCATAGCATTACCTCTCTGGGCCGTAAGTAGTGCATAGAATAAACAAATCACCACGGTTCCTGTGGTCTCCTTGCACTCTTAAGATGCAAATGTTGCTTGCACTGCTGCTCAGGGCTGCTTCATGAGATGAAAAGCGCAGGCTTGTGTTTTCTTGGTTTACATTTTAACAGCTTTAACTCTGGGATTAGCTGCTCGATGCAGTTCAGGACAACTTAATCTGCTTTAATGCTTTGCTCTGTGCACACGGACATTGTTTGGCAGTGTTTGACTGAATTAAGAACCCGACTGGAGTTTCTTGCTACATGTGTTCATGATGTTCTTTGCAGAGAGTGTGTGTGAGCCCACACGATTTTTATATGCTTACCCTTGAAATGTCAACATGAATCTATTTGCTCCCCGTGGAATGTAAACACGAAAAGGGTTAAAGGATGAAAAAGCAGTGGAGATGTTTCCTGGAGAAAACAGCCCCGCTTTGAACTAAAGGAGAGATTTTTTCCAGTTTAGCTTTTCAATGAGAGTGGCAGCAGTTGGCAGGAGAGCACCACTTTTACAACTCTGTTTTGGATGGATGAAGTTGGTTGCTAAGCTACAAGACGCCGAGCCGTGGCTGCGTGTTTTGATGGGCTCTGAATATCGTCATGCTGATTTTTGAACATCCAGATGTCTCTTTCTAAGTGCCTTGGGTTTCAGGCAAACGTGTGAGGTACATTTTCCATCCTTGTTTACTAACTGAGGCCACCTTGAGCTTCGTGTTGTCAACAGAATAATATTTGCAGATCGTTTGTCAGCTGAATGCGTGGCCTCAGCTGTATGGAATTGGCTTTGTGTGGATAGAATCTGCATTGTGCATGGCTGATGCCATACAAATCCCTCAATAATAATTATCTTTGTTCCAGAGTGACATTTGATTGGATGGTATTTTTTTACACCAAAAGAGGGCTTTATTTGAGCTCCTGTATGAAGGAGAAATCCCGAGAGAATTCAGCAGTGTTCCTTCATCCTCTGGTTGTCTTTACTTCTCTAAAGATAAATTAGTAACCATTGGTAGACTGAGAGTGCATTGGCAGCCCTCCTTTATTATTAAATTAGTGGTGGTTCACATTATATTTTATAAGTTCAAATTATGGTTGTCATCATCATCATCATTCATACTAGGAAGTACTTCCTATGTAAAAGAATTTAAAAGGAAATTCACTACTTCTGATTTAAAACAGCCACTTCTGGTCATAATCTGTATTTAATTGGATAAGGGCTTTAAAGCAATTATTCTGCATATCACAGTAAATCAATATGAACATGAATTCAGTTTGGGGTGATTCAGGGAACATCTTAAAGCTGGTTTTAGGCTTTATGTTGCTTATCAGTGATGGCAAGGGTCCATTAGTGGCTGCAGTGGGTCCTCTGTTTACTCTGTAAATGCAAGGATCACTAGAGTTACATGTCTGGCCATTGTGAAAACCTTAAGTGGACACACAAATCATCTGTCACTAAATATTGCAGAAATTTAGTTGGGTTCCACAGTGATTTTTTAAATCTGATAATGAGAAGTGTATTTTCCCAGTGGTTGCAGTCTGTCATTTTGGCCCATGAGGAACAGGATGAAGCATGACAGAGGTCTGACTTGACAGTAAGAGAACGTGATAATTTTCTGATATTTCTAAATTTCCTCATGGCAGCTTGACCATAAGAGCCTTAGAGAGCACATGGGTCCCCTGCTATTGGATTACTTTGTGGTTGAGTCCTTGGCAGCAGCTGTAAATCTTTGGGCCTCATGAATCCTGGAGCATCCTCCATGGAATATGGTGGTGTAAGGATGCATTTCTGGTGGCCAGGTGAGTCTCCTCCACTTCATAGAGAAGTGGCCATGTGGTAGGGAGGAGGAAGAGCTTGCAAAGCCCTCTTTCTCTGGAGATTAGGTCACTTCTTGTCCACAGCAGTGAAGTCAACAGCAAATTTAGAGTTTATTCTGTATCAGCCTTTTTTATAGTGAACAGTTTGCAGGAGCTGGAAGCAGATCATCTTCAGATTTTTATGGGTGCAACAAAACACTTGCAAGATTATTGCCACAGTAGCAAAACAGATTAGATGGGACTTGCAAACTGCATTTGAACTCACACTGTTCTTTTTCTGTGGTCCAGCCTGCTCTGCAATTATCCTCTAGAATCCATCCAGTCTATTTCATTAGTGGCCCTTAGTTAAATTTCAAGTGAACTATTGAATGCATTTGGACAAAATCCAGCTCTCTTCCTTTCCGCCCCTGTTCTGAATCATCTGAAGATTAAAATAGATGTTTCTCACAGTAGATACAGACATTAGGAGCAAGGAAAAAATCCTTTCCTAAGTGCTTGTTAGCATCATCTGTGATAGTACCATCATGCCTGGCTCGAGCAGAGGGTTCATGCTAGAGCCAAAGGCCACTGTCCTGCCTTTTTCTACACAGTAATTATATGGGGCTGGTGTGTTTGATTTAGTTTAACTGTCCATCTGGCAGTGCTGTTGAAATTTAACAGCAAGCTTTGTATTATCTCAGCTCTGTAGATGATAATTTCACTGCATGGAGCACATGCTTTCTTTGGCTCTACTTCTTTCTTCTTCTTTTTTTTTTCTCTTTTCTCTGTTATCATCTTCCAACAATTATTATCCCCTAGCAGTAAAACAAGTCGCTGTACCAATGGTCAATAGAATAGATTTCACTGTTAATTATTATTACTCTGAAGAAATTGTAGTGTGATGTGTATACCAGTTTCATAGTGTTTTCACCAACTTTGTTGCACATTTAAATAATGTCCCTAGGGAAAAAAAAGTGGGACGTAACTGATAGAGGAGAAGTTTGATTCACCCTGGTCTGGAGAGATGATGTGGAGTTTCCCCACAAAGGAACTGTGGGCTTAGGCAGGTTAAATCACACATTTTTACTTAGTCATCAGTCACCAGTTTCATAACTGAAACTTCTCCCCATGCAGATCCCAAATGCTTTATTTGCATTTTGTCAGTATTTTAAAATAACCTGTAGTTGGTATAACTCTGCTGTTTGTACTTTTTTTTTTTCCAAATGCTCAAGCCCCAGGCTCATATTTATGATATGAACCCCAAAAGCAAATTGCCTCCATTTTTAAGCTAATGGGGAAATACATTTGGGTTTGGCAGGTATCACCATTGTGGTTTTCCTCAGAAGGCAACCAGGCTCTGGCCACCCTCTCAAAATGTGGCCAGGGGAGGACAGAGCAGTAACCCAGCGAGCCTTTCGTCACCCGGGGTCCTTTCTGCTCATGTGAACATTGCATTTGAAACCCCGTGTGCCATTCCAGGTTGCTGTGACATCAGTGAAAGTTCCCCCACTTTGCAGAGGAGCTGAAGGAGGGGTGGATGTGTGTGTTCCCAGCACCACCTGACCCCACCCTCCTGCCCAGGTCTGCGGTGGGAACGTTGCTGCTGCAGGAAATCGGAAAGTCGTGCTTAATTCCTTCCTCTGCTGGAGGGATTTTAGGT